TAGAGTACTCTATTATTCCATGGATTGTAATAGCTCTCTCTCTCTCTCTCTCTCTATATATATATATATATATAATACTATAACAGGAGGTTCAGAATTTACCAATCAAAATTTAATCAAGCCTGTTTCATCTAGGAAAAGAGGTTGAAAGCATAGCTCTCAATAATGAAAGCACTCTGTTATAAACTTATAAAATGAAAATGATTTCTACTTCTGGACACAATACTTAGCAATTTACTGGTTGATTTTCTGTGACTAGAGTTGTTAAAAGAGCATGTAAGTTGATCAAACAAGCACCAGGCAAAATCTTGAGAGAAATAACTACATTCAATTCCAAGCTTTATCGGAACTTTCCAGAATGGCAAGTTATTCACATTAACCAACTAGTTTTATTATTAGAAAGGGGAAGCAGTTCATGGCTTGGCATATCCTGTTCATCTAGAACTTGTAATTAAATACAGAAGCCTGTACCTGTAAACCAAAAAAAACGTAAAACTTCGTTTTTATTATTTTATTACAACTTACAGCTTTTACAGTGAGGAAGGATGATTGAAACATCGTACTTGTTTTAAAAATATTCTTCCTTACTGTAAAAGCTGTAACTTGTAATAAAATAACACTTATAATCAGTAAGTATACTCAAAACGAAACTATTAAACTCAGTCTTTGTGAATATAGATTAACTTAATGATGTATTTATCATACTAGAATAAAACACACACTTTGTCTTGTCAGGAAACAAATGTAATGTATTTTTATTGATAGTAAAATTATACATTCAAGTGCAAATAATCATTTGTGAGTTATCAAACATGAGAGCAACCATGGTAAGAAAGAACAAAGGATTTGAAGTAAAAATTACTTGAATATTAAGTATGTTTGAAGAAAACTTAAATATTGGTTGGCCAGGTGTATCAAGCCATGCTCGATTCTGAGTGAGAAACGATTCATTGCCAAGTAAACTGTTTCCTGCCTACAACATTTGTCTATCATTAAATCCCACTTTTTTCAATTAGAATTTAAAATAGAGCCATTAAAACAGAGAAAAAGTAAGTACTTGAAAATGACTACTATTTGATAACCGTTACTTTTGCAAGGAATCAGAAAATAACTACAAATAGTATCAAAATAAGAAGAAATGGTTAAAATTGTTTTTGATGTAGTTTGTTAGTTCATAACATTTTTAGAGAAACTTTCTTTACCTTAAGTATTTTTATTACTTATAAGTATTAAATTCAAGTTTTATGTATTAATAAGTTCTGTGGGTCGAAGACCAAACATCCAGTTTTATGGGTTTTGTAAAGAATTACATACTTTATTTTTTTTTTAAGTTATTTTTTATTAATATTATTGGTTATAATGCTTAAAATAATTTGAAATATTGCTATTATTATTATATTTTATTGTTATGAATTTTTCTTGTTCTTGGAGTTTATTTTTTATTATTAGCTTAGTATATGGATTTATGAGACTAACATAGATATCTTGAGATATCTTAAATTCTGAACTGTGTAACATGTTATTTATGATCATGGCCAAAAGTATTATTTACAACAAGAGTACCTAATTGACTAGTCAATGCATTTTAAAGTATTTTCAGATTTAATAATGCTGAAGCTACTAAAACATAAAACATTCTGAAATAAATTACATCTCAGTGAAATATTAATATGGCAATCAAATAATGTATCTAATAGTGTATGAAATTTTTTTTCTGTTGAGAAAAAAAGGCAAAATGTTTCTTATGGGTTTTTGTGTTCATCAGGAGGAAATTTTCATTGCCATTAATGAACAAATTGAGAAGTCTAAAGTAACAGTTGAATCATTTGCCGTAGATTTACAAGATTCTCGAATTTTTGAACAGTTACTGAATCGGGTAAGTTTTATATAAAGAAATATTTTCAGTACATATATTATTACTTATAACATTATGTTATTGTAGTGAATTGTTATTTGAACTTCAATAACTTAGTAAAGTATGTATTGCCATCTATTGCATATACATTCAAGAAAGTTGTTACAAGTTTTGGTATTAAGTTGCTAATTTATTTGTAAGTTATAAGTAGGTATGAATTTTTACAGTAAGGAAGTGATGCATATGAAGTTTGTCATCATGATGATAAATCTTTTGTTTAACCTATTTTTTTTATATACAATACACTGTCAGGAAGGAAGGCAAATCTTATTTTTGGATCAAGCTGAAAACCACTTACATCATTATATATACGTTGGAGCCACCAAAACAGATCGAAGCAAAAGCTTATTCAACCTGCCTTTCAAAGCTGTATGCAGCACAGAGAATGAAATTTGTCTATTTCCTGAAGAACTTGACATAGGGTTTTGTAAGCAGGTGGCACTTTTGTATGCTGAAACTAAAATAAAAATAAAAAATAGAAAAAGTTTCTCTGAAGAAAACAAATGGTTATGATAACCTAATGCGAATGACAAAATATTGTGTTTGCAATGTCTCAGGCTTGGAAATAGATATTTTTATTAGGTTTTGTTCAGACAGTGTCAGATAAGCTTTGTTTTGTTGATCATTTTCAAATTTATCAGGTCTTTTTGCTCAAACTGCCATACATATCTATGTGTAATATTTCTCACATTTTAATTTCTATGGAAAATAAAGTTAGTGGACTGTAGTTGCAAAATTTAAACCTCTAAAGATAAAAAAACTCCAACATTATTTTATTATTCTTATGGGAATTGATGTTTTTGAGTAATGTGAAGCATTTTTCTTTTAAAGAATAATTCAAAAGTTTGCAAGTGTTCTGTAGATATCAATCAGTGAGATCTTTTATAATAAAAATATCTTAATGAGAAATAAATATAATGCAAAATAATTAATGTTAAGAAGTCAAATGTGTTAAGCCTTATTTGTGGTCGCAGTGTTATGCCTGCATTGTTTTCTTGATATATGGATAAAAAAAGCCCCTCTTTCAAGAAGAATGCAGCAATAAGAATATGACCAGGATCATAGATTTTCTGGAGAACTTCATGACAACCCTTCTTCTATGTTAGGATATCATTGAAATGTCTTGTACAATGAAATATCCTTTTCTCATACTTGCAGATATTATGTAGTAACGTAAAGATAAACAGCTTTCTAACTAGTGAAAAAGAGAATAATTAATTTTGCATCCTTAAGTTTTTTGTTATTCACCAGAACTAAGTTGCAATTAATCTTTGGAAATTGTTATAAAAACAAGCTAATTGCATGTTTTCTTTTTTATTGTTATTGTGTTTTCCACATTCATCTTAATTTGTCCACCAGAACTCATCAGTTGGGCTAGGTGATGAAAGACAAAATATTCTGTGAAATGTTATTTATTTATATATATCTGCAGTATAATAATTGAAAAGTTATGGTTTAGGTACTGAAAGCTGTTGAAATATTGGCAAACCAATAGGAATAAAAATTGTTATAAAAACAAGTTAACTGCAGATTTTTTTTGACATTCCTCTTATTTGTCCATTGCAGCTCGAAATCAGATGTGTGTAAAAATAGTGATTGAAATGTATCTTTAAAAAAATTACTGTTGTCAACTTTATTTTTATAACAATTTTTAGGCATATTGGTTTTCCAATGTTTTACCAACTTTCAATTTTTAAACTGTAATCTTTGTGAATGTATGGAAGCTGTGGTTTATTGTAATATTGAAGTTTTCTGATGAAATTACTTAAGTCCTCAGTATCTGTATTGGTGCAATGGTTCCCCCAGTATTTAAAAAGAGTTGTTTGATATATATATATCATGAGATTTTTGGGATCATTTAACCATAGCAGTAAAGTCCTCAGTATTTGTATTTCTTACCATTGGTGCAATGGTTTCCCCAGTATTTAAAAAGAGTTGTTTGATATATATATATATATATTATCATGAGATTTTTGGGATCATTTAACCATAGAAGTAACTCCAAGGCATACTACAAATTGTCACTAATTTTACTTCTTAGTGAAAAATTCTGTGACTTATAAACAATATCCACTAAACTATTAAAGTTGACTACTACAATGGCTGTGTCATTGAATTTGACTTCTCACTTTTTATAGTGAGTATTTTGCTATGTTGATAAACTTTTTCCTAGTGTACAAAGTATTTATGGGTGAATTAATAGGAAATTATTGATATATTTTTTTCTTTTAGTTAAAATCAATTAAGATAAACAATAAAAAAGCATTTACAACATTTTATAATTTTAGCAAATAAAAGTAACTATTTGATTTTATTTGTTAAAATTGATCAGAAATTGTCAGACCTTTGCACATATATGTATATGTATTGGTCAGAAAATTTATTAATTAATGTCTGATTTTTTCAGACCTGTGTTTTATTTTTACTGTAGTCATTATGAGCAGCACTTGTCATCTCTTTTTTAATTATTCACTTTATTATTTTTTTCATACGGCATACATTTTCATTCTATTCAATTTGTCTATTTATAGAGTTATTTTTATTAGAAACATCTCACTTTTTATTAATTTTAGAAATATGTTTTCAAACAACATCTATGGAAATTGGTTACAATATTCATGTAAGTTTTACTTTTATTAATAATTTAATAATTTTTGTACAGTTTTTCTCATTAGTACCACCAGATAAGTTATTTTCTTGCATTTTGAATAGTTGCTTTCCAAGATGTTACCATCAGTAAGTTAAATAATAAGCCTCTAGAGTGGGTTGTTTAATTTTCTCCCAATATTTTACCACCAATAGATTCAATAATGGTCCTCAAGCTGGTTAAACAATATTTCCTGGGAAAACTACCTTGAATATATTGATTATTGGCCTACTGGGAGGATTACTCAGTTTTAGTAATGGTTTTCTAGCAGGTTAAGTAGTGTTCATTCTCCCAGTAGACCAATAATCAATATATTCAAAGTAGTTTTCCCAGGGAACACTACTTAACCTGCTAGAAAACCATTACTAAAACTGAGTCATTCTCCCAGTAGGCCAGTAATCAATACATTCAAAGTAGTTTTCCCAAGGTCAGTTTTAGTAATGGTTTTCTAGCAGGTTAAGTAGTGTTTCCTGGGAAGACTACCTTGTATAGATTGATTATTGACATACTAGGAGAAGTACTCTTTTCAATAATGGTCCTGTAGTTGTTTAAACAATGTTCCCTAGAAGACTATCTTTGATATATTTTTGGCGTACTAGGAGAAATAATCAGACAGGTCGAGTATCTGTTTAATGGTCTTTTGGAGAAACTACCTGAGATTAGTTAAATATTGATCCCATAGGGAAGTAGTTTGTGCAAATGTTTCAAGTTTATTGTGGGAAATACCTTTGGCAGGTTGATAATTGGTTTGGGGACATTCCTTGGGGAGGTTGAATAATTGTCAGTCTAAGGAATCGCCTCTAAATGTTTATAAATCTTTCCCTGGAGAAATACAAACTTCAGGCTGAGTAATAGTTACTCAGGTAACTACTTCCACCAGATTGAGTAAAGTTCTCTGTTAAAATACTGTTAACAGGCTTTAGTACCTGTTCCTAAGGAACAACTTCCAATAATTTGACTTGCATTCTCTAGACTGCAGGGCCCAAGCAGAGAAAATGTCATGGAATATTTTGGAATGGCTTCCCTTAGTTGGCATAGTTTTATGTACATCAGTTGTTAATTCTCCAATGAATGGTTGCTAGCTATAGAGACTGGTGTAATGGATCATGCAGCTTAAATATCCCATAAAATGCTCTTTGAGTCACATTTTGTATTGGTCCAATGTAAGTAAATTTGAGCCTGTCATGCATTTTTATAAATAGTTAAGATTATGGGGCATGAATTCTGATTTTTATTTAAATTTCATTTTTCACTTTTCCTACAAGATATTAATATTTTTAGTAGATTTGTATTGCTTTTTCATTTTCAAAAATGAGTTTACAAATTTTATGGTAATAACAGATATGGATAACACCAAAAGTTTATGTTGTTTTATTTGTAATATACTTAAGTTTTTTTGTTTTTTTCTACAAAACATTTAAGGAATTCATTTTGTAATCCAAAGTTTTAAAAAATTTTGAAGTTACCTGTGTGTTTGTGAATGTGTAATATAAATATAGAGCAGTTTGTAGAGTATAGTTTTGTATATCTGTGTATGTAGATAGAAACAGGGTTTGTTTATTAGTAGTGAATGGATACCAGTATATAATTATACCTTATAATTTTAAGCACACGTTAAAGTCACCCATCAGTATCCTATGCAAACAGAAGAAAACACTGTAACAAGACACAAAACTATAATTAGGTGATGGAATTAACATTGGATACAAATGAAAGTGTGTAGTAGAATGTTTCTTGATTTTACTTTCTTCATCAACAGAGTCTCTTTTATATGTACATCTTGATCATTATTGGAACTACATATTATGACAAAGTTCTTTTACACACTAATCCCATCACATTTCTGATTCAGTTGTTTGTAGGTACAGTACACCACCGATTTTCAGGCACCTCCTTTAATCCGGACAAAATTATGAGAGTGCACTTGAAATTCCCACGACTGCCAGACTAGTTCACTGGGCTGTCACAGATGGCATTGCGTGTGATGCGCACTCTTTTGGGACAGGCTACTTACATTTTAAGTAGGAAGCGGTACTACTGCAACATTCTTTGTAAGTACAGTAATTAATAAACCTTTTTCATTTATACTGTACTAATAAACGTGTATCACTTATACCGGTACTAATGTATTTCATTAATCATTTAATTTTTGTTTTATGTAAGTTTCCAGCAGTCCGTGGTGCTTTAGAGACACGGGAGTGATATAATTAGTGTATCAGAGGTGTATTGTTGAATTATTATTACGTGACCTTTGTTGGTCCGGCAAGGTTCTGGAACCAAGGGTGCTGGAAAGTCAGTGGCATACATGTATTTGAAGAATTACCAGCACCCTTGGTTCTGGGTGCTATTTTATAGGTTGTTCTAAACAATGTAGGAGAATTAAATTTATTAATTCTGTCCTATTATCCTGAAAAAGTTTTCAAGTCTCGATACTGATTTTAAGGCTATACACTGAAATTTGATTTCATGATATTTTTAAATCTTTATTTGTCAGTATGTTTGTTCTCAATGTGGACAAAATTCTGTGGGATCAAACACATCTTGTTTAGAACAACTTAGTGCTGGTAACTCTTCAAATATCTACAAACATCTAGATTAGAAATATGATAGAACTGGTGAGTAAAAGAGCTTTGCCCTAATATGTAGTTCAAACAATAAACAAGATGCATGTATAAAAGAGAGGCTGGTAATCAAGAAACTAAAACCAACATTGAACTTTCATTTATGAGTGACAGAAATTCTTCCAGAATGTTTCTGATTTTACCTTAATACCTGGATCAAGGTGGAAGGAGCTGCTACAAAACAACTAAAGTATGTGTACCATCATAATATTTCCTGAAATGTTTCATGGTATAAAAGTCTTCTCTAAGAGCTAATTAGATAAAAGAGTTTCCCTTCAACCAAGGTATATTGTTATTTTAGTATACATGTATAAAATTATCTTTGGAAGTCATCTTTCTTCTTATATATATATGATGAAGTATTAGCTCAGAAATAAATTTTAATGTTAACCATAGTAACTGGTTACCTTGATAACACCTCACTTGGTGCTACAAAATGTCTGTTTTCTTATGAAAGAAGTACTGTATAATATTATACAATTTGCTGCAAGAAATTAATACAAAAAGATCATTTTTTTCTTAATATTATGTTGTTTTTAACCACTTACCATAACACTCTGAATAACACTATTGCAAATGTATTTCTTAAATTTACCTTCAACATATATTATTCAATAAGACTAGTTCTGAGAATTTTACTATTATGCTGTACAAAGCTGGAAATCAGTTCTTTTTAGAAGGTTTGGAATAATGATAAAGCTCTGATTAGTGAAAAATTCTATAGACTTTGTTCTTGTAAGTCTTATATCAGATATTGTTTTATTCTCACAGTATATGTGTGTCTATATATGTGTGTGTGTGTGTGTGTGATTATTAAAATTTCAGTGTTTGTAATAGGCATTATTCCAAGACCTATCACATTCAAGAATTTTGTGTTGA